ATGAATAACGATGTATAACTCTATACAAACTGATGTGTTTCTATGTATAACGATGTACTACTATATATAACGATGGTATAACGATGTATTACCCTATACAAACTGATGTGTGTCTATGTATAACGATGTACTACTGTGTATAACGATGTCCTCCTGTGTATAACGATGTAGTCCTGTGTATAACGATGTATCACTGTACAGACTGATGTATTACTATGCAAAACGATGTATTACTATATATAACGATGGTATAACGATGTATTACCCTATACAAACTGATGTGTGTCTATGTATAACGATGTATCACTATGTATTACTGTGTATAACGATATATTACTATTTATACCGATGTATTACTGTACTAACTGATGTATCACTATGTATAAGGATGTATTACTGTTCTAACTGATGTATTACTATGTATAACAATGTATTACTGTGTATAACGATGTAGTCCTGTGTATAACGATGTATTACTATGTATAACGATGTATTACTGTACAAACTGTTGTATTACTATATATAACGATGTATTACTGTACTAACTGATGTATCACTATGTATAAAGATGTATTACTGTACAAACTGATGTATTACTATGTATAACGATGTATTACTGTTCTAACTGATGTATTACTATGTATAACAATGTGTTATTGTACTTACTGATGTGTTACTATGTATAACGATGTATTACTGTACTAACTGATGTATTACTATGTATAACGATGTATTAATGTACTAACTGATGTGTTACTATGTATAACAATGTGTTATTGTACTAACTGTTGTATTACTATATATAACGATGTATTTCTGTACAAACTGATGTATTACTATGTATAACGATGTATTACTGTTCTAACTGATGTATTACTATGTATTACAATGTGTTATTGTACTAACTGATGTATCACTATGTATAACGATGCATTACTGCTCAAACTGATGTATTACTCTGCATAACGATGTATTACTGTACTAACTGATGTATCATTATGTATAACAATGTATTACTGTACAAACTGTTGTATTACTATGTATGGCGATGTATTACTGTACTAACTGATGTGTTACTATGTATAACAATGTATTACTATACAAAATGATGTATCACTATGTATAACGATGCATTACTGCTCAAACTGATGTATTACTCTGTATAACGATGTATTACTGTCCAACTGATGTATCATTATGTATAAAAATGTATTACTGTACAAACTGTTGTATTACTATGTATAGCGATGTATTACTGTATTAACTGATGTGTTATTATGTATAACAATGTATTACATGTACTATACAAAATGATGTATCACTATGTATAACGATGCACTACTGCTCAAACTGATGTATCATTATGTATTACAATGTATTACTGTACGAACTTATCTATTACTTTGTAGATTGTAGATGATATATTACTACACTGTATGCATAACGATGTATTAATCTACCCTACCAATTGATGAATTACTATGAGTATCGATATTTTATTGTACAAACCGGCGTGGTATGTACAAACTAGTATATAGCTTATACAGTGTACGAGTTGATGTACTTTACTGTTTGCTACAGCTCATTTTTACCTCTGTCGACCAGTTTTGATCAATAATGCACTGGCAACAATTCACAATTTGACACTAAGCTTAATGTGTTGTTATGCTTAATGTTTATGGCAGACACATACATTGTAGAAGAACACATACGTTTTAAAAGTGGCTTAAAATTAAAGGTATATGTTGGCGTCTGAAGATATTCGTTTTGAATATAAATCATAAATGTCTCAAGAAATATAAAATATTCGGTTTTCAATTAGATTTTACTCTGAATTGGATATGATGTGGAAGACATACCGGTTTTATTGAGATTACACAGAAATATGAAGGATGTGTCTCCTTATTACGTAGTATATGTCTTTTTGTGGAATTTATATTTCAGCGATGTAGCACTATAAAGTCGGCACCAGATCCGTGCTATCGCTAGGAGCTAACAGCACACGTTCACACATGCACGCATACATCACACGCATGGAGGTATGTCCTTAAATGACCCCATCGCTTCGAAGGATTTTAAACCCAATAAACTGAACCACACCTCTGCCTACTCGACAGCAATGAAAACTAATTTTCCGGTAACATCTTGCCCAAAGACAACCATTATGATCATAACTACAACTTGACAGTAAAAAGGACATTCAATAATGTATTTATAGGCAAGATAAAACATGTAGTGAGAAAGCGGACGTACGTACGTATAGTTAAAATGGTTTTATATGTACTGTAGCAAATTGCCATCCCGAGATAACTCAACATAGATTTTTTCTATAAATTGTTTTTTGTTATTATGGTGCATGCCTTTCAGGCAATCGTACTCCTTACATGTAGAATGAAATTTAACAGCATTATTTATCAATACATGGGCCACAAGTATTATCAAAATCAGTGAATGCAAACTTCTTAGTTATTACTACATTGTATATGGGAAAAAAAATTTATAACATGCAATGAGCGCTGATTCGAACTGATAATAAAATCGCTACATTTTAACGACTTTCTTTTATAAATTAGAAGACAAAATATCAATTTGGTTGGATTGACGGATGTGTGATAACAAATGTATACCGTATACAGATGTAAACATTATAATGCAAGGAAAATCAAGCTCTCTCGTGAAAATACTTTTTAACGATATTGAAATACTTTGTGTAAACAATATGCAGAAAAATACTTTTTTATTTAATGACCAAAAAATAACGAATTCCTTTGAACACCAGATCAGCACAATGTACGTATTTCGGTCCGCGTCAATACTTCACATTGTTCATCTTTACTCCTGCTGTGGATGTGATGTGTAAGTTTTGGTCCGGGAGTAAGGTCTTTACTCTGTTTTAATTTTTGTTTGGGCACCAAAAACCATTGTTTCTTTGAGGCCATGTTCTCACCTCCGTTCTCACGAATATTCTCCTGTGAAGCCACTAAGAAGTGTCACGTGCTCGAGCTAGAGACAAATGGTGATTGATGGAGTTACGGAGGAGGTGCTCCCCTAAGTGGGACCCCTTTTTACAAACGTATCAGTCACAGACGGTCTTCGTCGTTCACCCGATGTTTCAATTAGTACAGAAGGACATGTTGTCAAAATATACGTATTACGTGACAGACATACAACATTTCTCCCGGGGTAACGATCGGCATCAAACAAAACACGTGCAACGCACCTTCCTAATGTAATCACTCAAGTGGACCGTTTTAAGTTGGGCCAAACATGATATGTTTAAAGGGGTAGATGAGACAATGTCAGAATGTGGTTAGGATAACTCCCTCGAGAATATAAATGTAGGCATTTGCAAATCGGAAGCACATGTTTCAAATACGTGACATTCAAAACATATTGTAGACCAACGTCCGATGCCCCGACCTTCGTAAAAAACGGTCGGTTTTGGTAATAGAGGAACTGCAGGGGTCAATATTAATTATGCACGTGGCACTGAGTAAGTCCAGAGCCTTAAAAACAATACATAATACTACACAAGACGATTGCAGGCTCTCTTGAACTTAAGTGTGTACAGACACGCTAACTAATGATTCAGTCATTGACGATTGGGTGGAAAATAATCCAATTTATTATAAATAATATGATTGCAGAATGAAAAGACGCAAATGCAATCTGCAATCACGCAGCGAGGAACTTGGTAGGTCGGCATAGTGTATGTACGGAATTGGTGCTAATTCCATCAGCGACTCTTCACTGAAGGGTCTCCGTATTACGGGCCAAATTACACGACCCGAGTCATTTGATGAATATCAATAGTAGCTGTAGCTGAATCCTCCAAAGCTAGCTTGCCTCGTCGCTCACATTCTACACAACCGTCAACCGCAAGGCCAACCAATGCGGGGGGGGGGGAGAAACGTTCCCGAACATATTTTATATTTTTGTGGATAGGACGTTAAACAAAATATTTATGACCCGACTTTGATCTTGACCTCTAAGCTCTGACCCGTGACCTGACTTCGATTGGTTACAATTGTATTGCGGTTTTCGTGTTCCCCGCTAATGTCTTTATGCCTGGTTCTGTCTTTACAGTTAATCATGTCAACATGAAATAATGAACCACACGAAGCAAACAATTAAACACCAACATAGTTTGAAATCTGAAAAGTGATATCTTGGATATTGGAAATGTTCTATCATCCCAGTTACATAAACCACACAAATTGAAATAGATTGGCCGTCTCCCTAGTGTTCGGCCGCTAATGGACGGTGCTGATTGGTTACCTCACCAGTCAGGCAACCGCCGGGTTCGAGCAACCATTGCATGTTGTCTGGTAAGTTAAATATTTTGGTGGATTCTCTCAGGCTGAGAATGGAGGAATAATTGGTCAATGTGTGTGTTACGTCCTGCAAATCAACTCGCCTGATCCAATGCGACTGTAAAACGTTCTTCTCAGAAGACCGGACTTCAAATCGCTCCCCGCGCCATTGTATTGTTCTGTTATTATTCTGTTTTACTCGTGTGTCGCTGTAAATCGGTTTTCTCCCAGGTATTGTTGTGAAAGTCGCGTCTCTATAACAGTGTCGTTGTAAAGCCAGCGTCCCTATAGAAGTATCCCTCTATAGAATGTTGCTTAAAACAAGTAAAACCCAACTTCCCTGTAAAATCTCCCTCTTTATCCTTCATTTTAGAAATTAAATCCGGTATCGATGTAAAAGGCTTTTCTCTACAGTAGCGTGTTAAGCTGTAAAAGACACCTCTCGTAGCCTCTGTGTGTGTGTCGCTCTACAGTACTATCCGCCCTGCGAGGACCGCTGTAACAGGCGCTGACACTTTTAACTGACGATAACGACAGGTGTGAGAGCATCTCCAATCGTCGATTTTTACCTATGTACCAAACATCAACACAAATCTGCTCGATTAGATCTGTGTGATATACGGGAGCGATCTACTCTCATAACTCATGGATGGTTAGTGCTTTAGTAGATAGAGAGGGTCTAAGCGGCCCGTCCAGGACCGCGTGGCTGATATACATACAACAATACCAATGCTTAGCTCTCAGCTATGCAGTCGATATTTGCAAATGAAAACTCCCTTTTCACGTTTGAACGCCCATATCCCGTACATGCGTGAGGTATAGAGTCAACTGGCGATACAGTGTCGTAGAGTGGGCCTAACACAGGCGATAACTCGGCTCAGCTCCTGCTTCCTAGATCATTTTGGATTTATTCTCTTGAAGGATTCTACTTTTATCCAATTCATGAATTGATATGACTCCATATTTTCTGTCATAAACGACAAGATATATACTGATAAAAAGTTTTGTGTGTGGAAAACTTCTATAATGGCAAATCATGGGTTCGCGCGTTTTTAAGAAGGGACGTCGGAATCCTGCGTTCTGTTGTGTGCTGGAACTACATGGATAATTATGTGATTATTAGGCATATGAAGTTGTTCTACGTTGATTTAAAATGACTGCGGAGTGTTATTTGGAATTGAAGTTGCTGTCTGTCGCATTCATCGGATTATTCCTCTCTCTCTTACTGGGGTTTCTGACCAGTACCAGTGGTAAGTACTTGCCAAACATTAATACTTCATTTATTTTACAGATTTACTACTGACCGCGTCCACCCGTAACACTATCAATACCGTTGGCCATTAAGTCGAATTTTCGTTTTGTCCATTAGCAATAATGAACAGTGAAGCACTATTTTCATTGACCAATGCGACTTTAAGACTCTTATAATCATATTGTAGCAGATCTGACCTCTGAGTGTAATAATATTATCTTACATCGTCAACAATGACCAATGCGTCTCAAGTATCACCTACCTTTAAGTGTAATTTTATTATCTAAAACTAACAGAAGTGACCAGTCAGTGTGTCGCTATTTATCACTGACCATTGGGTGTAATGCTATATCTGGCATTAACAGAACTGACCAATCAGTGTGTCGCTATTTATCACTGACCATTTGGTGTCATGCTATTATCTGGCATTAACAGAACTGACCAGTCAGTGTGTCGCTATTTATTACTGACCGTTGGGTGTAATGCTATATCTGTCATTATCAGAACTGACCAATCAGTGTGTCGCTATTGATCACTGACCATTTGGAGTAATGCTATATCTGGCATTATCAGAACTGACAATCAGTGTGTCGCTATTTATTACTGACCATTGGGTGTAACACTTTATCTGGCATTATCAGAACTGACCAATCAGTGTGTCGCTATTTATTACTGACCGTTGGGTGTAATGCTATATCTGGCATTAACAGAACTGACCAGTCAGTGTGTCGCTATTTATTACTGACCATTGGGTGTAATACTTTATCTGGCATTATCAGAACTGACCAATCAGTGTGTCGCTATTTATCACTGACCATTTGGAGTAATGCTATATCTGGCATTATCAGAACTGACCAATCAGTGTGTCGCTATTTATTACTGACCGTTGGGTGTAATGCTATATCTGGCATTATCAGAACTGACCAATCAGTGTGTCGCTCTTTATTACTGACCGTTGGGTGTAATGCTATATCTGGCATTATCAGAACTGACCAATCAGTGTGTCGCTATTTATCACTGACCGTTGGGTGTAATGCTATATCTGGCATTATCAGAACTGACCAATCAGTGTGTCGCTATTTAGCACTGACCATTGGGTGTAATGCTTAATCTGGCATTAACAAATAATCAGCGTAAAGATATTACCACTGACCAAGAGGTACACGTGTAACGTAATTGTTTACTACATGGGTGTTTATTTATTTAGAGTAATGTCATTACTGTCACACCTTTCGCTAGTGTAACGCTACGTCACTGTGCTAAATAATCTTGCATTACCCGTCAATGTTAATGGTTTACTGTACAATTTCAAATTAATATATACAATGTATAACGTCTCCACATCAGTACTCCCACAGTAAGCCCTGTCCTCTGGGAAATCCGAAGGATATAATTATACACGTATCACCGCTAGAACTTGTTCAAATCATATAGTCATATTTGAAACGAACTGAATGAATGAAAAAGATATTTTATTGATTCATTTTCAATATCATTTCCTAATCATCAGTTAAGTTTCTTCAAAATATATATATATATATATAAAAACATTGTATAAAGGAATATATAAACAAAGCTTTCTTCTAAATATTATGTTCTTGTAAAAAAAATATTTAAAGTACATAAACGAGAAATTGGATATCCTTTTTTCATGAACTGTAAACGTTGTGTGTATGGTTTGTACGGGAGGGAATTCATTTCTTTCGAGTAGCTGTTGGTCGATACTCACACCTGTTGAAGTTAATTCAAATCTTCACAAAACTATGTCTGGCCACCTTTTAAGCCCACTGTATGCCCTCCCGACATTGGGATTCGTCCAAATGAGCACATTGTAATTGCTGCTACATTTGTATTAACATAAAAGTTGTATTTGAATTATGTAATTTACCAACAAATACTAGGCGTTTTCATGGAAAAAACTTATCGTAGGTGCCCTCAGATAAAACAATAAGTGTTATATAATTTAACTGCTCTTGATATGAAAACAGAATCTTTTTGACTAGCACCACATTTTAGATAACGGACGAAGCGTTACACTACCGTCGTATCTGAGAGTGCAATAAATCGCCCTGCTGTGAGGTGAGCATTATACCGTAATGGTACCAGTATGTCTTTGAACCGAATCGCAACACAGACACTCTTTACAGGACCTTGTCTTCACCAAGTCTTCCTTCAAAGAAGCTATTATATGAGCAATTGTTTTGCGATAATTTATTGAGCCGTGTTAAATGAGACAAGTTAGTCTTAAATTGGGAGCTGCACCCATCGGAATGATTCATTGTGGAGTGTTGATTTGAGTGCATAAGCTGATGCTTCACACATTGAACGTATTAACTTTGTTGTTCCTAGCTTTTACTGGCCTCTCGGGAGGCAGGGGAGATACACGGATCGATGTTGTCGCGCGCCCGGACCAGGGGACATGGATTAACAAAATGTGTCCGTCTGTGCGTTCGTCCTCACGACGTACGTCGTGTCTGTCCGTACGAGGTCGTTAACTCGACGTTTGTAGCACAAACAGCTGTTTCAGTAAAATACTTAACATGCATACACACTTTGTGTCCTAGTCTCAGATCTATGATCGACAGCTGTACCTGGCGTACCTAGACTTGCATATAAAGCTAGTAATATTTATTGCTAAACACTGATAAGATGCATGTTTTTATTAGATCTATAAAAGATCAGGTGACTGATTGTACTCCCGTGAATAAACAGATACGTGCTCTAAATCTACACGGCGATGACGAATATCCCCTATACAGGTGTGTTTACATTGATAACAAACCATGGCGCGGCAACACAAGCTGTCCGAGTCTGAAAGCTTTCCTATTTGTAGTGAAAATATTGAAACATTATTATTTCATTTAAGTAATTAACAAACGATTTTTTTCTTAACCTGCCATCTAAAGTTCGAAAATATACACACATGTAACTTTCGAATGTTCCGTTCTACTTTGGGTTTCGATTGTAGGAGTAAATGATGGCTGATCACGAAGGTTGGTCTACTGATTAATTAACCAATAGTTACCAGTGAAAGTTTCTCCCAGGTTAAGCAAAGGCACAGCCAGTACCTGCTCAAGTCTTTGGTTAGTCAAGATTTTGTTTTCTATGTGAATTAGCGCTTCTCGGCCTCTGAGGCTATTAGACGGCGGGAGCGCGCGCTGCGCCAGGCAGACCCAGACTCACATATCAATGATTCAACTCCAAATCAAATGTGGATACAAATAATTAATTGGACGTATCTTAGTCTCAGGGCATTTGCGAAAGGTCAAGTGGCCATCTGGCCTTTTTCCTATCACAATACATTGTTGCATTTCCTTAAATTAACTTCACATTTTTTTATATTTTTTTTCCGACATAATTTAATTTTGAATAAAACCAAACACTGTTTACCTTTAGTTTAAAACAAAACAAGTTGAAGCACTTGTTCTTTCTCTATCAGTATATGTGTACGAATTGCACCCAAAGCAAAGATAAAATCATCTACAAGGGTAGGTACTGGTTAATTAATCGCACGCTTCTTCCTTACCGCCCCTGGACGGCCGGCCCTTGTCATCCGCAGTTTGTTTTTTGTCGTTTACTCATTCACTGCTGATGTTATCGAATTCCTCAAGCCAATGTCATAGAGTTCAATAAATCTATTGAATCAAGTATCATAAGGGTGAGAGACAATTTATAGTAGTCCTAAAATCAATGACATACATATGTATTTATATTAATTTAAGTAACAGAACTAATATAGCATGTAGATGATATAGATTGAAATATTAGTATTATTGCAGATAGTGTCAAAAATAAACTGCCCCTTTGTGAGAAAAGAGTACCTTTTACATTATCATTTTTTTAATATATCAACATTGTATCACAAACTGTACAACATCATAACACGAATTCTACTTCATTGTATCACATACTATGCGTCATTGTATCACAAACTGTACGTCATTGTTTCACAAACTGTACGTCATTGTATCACAAACTGTACAACATTGTATCACAAACTGTACGTGATTGTATCCCAAACTGTAAGTCATTGTATCACAAACTGTACAACATTGTATCACAAACTTTACAACATTGTATCACAAACTGTACGTCATTGTATCACAAACTGTAAGTCATTGTATCACAAACTGAAGGTCATTGTATCACAGCCTGTACGTCATTGTATCACAAACTGTACGTCATTGTATCACAAACTATACGTCATTGTATCACAAACTGTACGTCATTGTATCACAAACTGGAAGTCATTGTATCACAAACTGGAAGTCATTGTATCACAAACCTTACCACATTGTTTCACCAAATGTACAACATTGTATCACAAACTGTACAACATTGTATCACAAACTGTACAACATTGTATCACAAACTGTACAACATCATACCACGAAATCTACTTCATTGCATCACAAACTGTACGTCATTGTATCATAAACTATACAACAGTGTATCACAAACTGTACAACATTGTATCACAAACTGTAAGTCATTGTATCACAAACTGTAAGTCATTGTATCACAAACTGTACAACATTGTATCACAAACTGTACAACATTGTACCATAAAATGTACAACATTGTATCACAAACCTTACAACATTGTACCACAACATGTACAACATTGTATCACAAACCTTACAACATTGTTTCACCAAATGTACAACATTGTATCACAAACTGTACAACATTGTACCATAAAATGTACAACATTGTATCACAAACCTTACAACATTGTATCACAAAATGTTCAACATTGTATCACAAACTGTACAACAGTGTATCACAAACCTTACAACATTTTTGTACCACAACCTGTACAACAGTGTATCACAAACCTTACAAAATTGTTTCACCAAATGTACAACATTGTTTTACCAAATGTACAACATTGTATCACAAATTGTACAACATTGTTTCACAAACCTTACAACATTGTATCACAAACTGTACAATTTCAAACCACGAATTCTACTTCATTGCATCACAAACTGTAAG